TTGCAGGACTGGCCTAGGGTAATTTTTAGGGGGGTTTTAATTATATTTTAAAATTTGACAAATATTTAAATATTCCTTTTAATTAATTTTAAATTTGTATTGTTTTGTATGTATTTTAAATAGATTGTCAGCCGCCCTGAGTCCTACGGGAGAAGGGCGGGATATAAATCCAAAAATAAATAAATAAATAAAATAAAATTTAAAACGAGTATAAAGAAAGTAGGTAAAAAAAGTCATCTGCAATTCCCAGTATTCCTAATTTGTCAATCTAACATTACAAATTCCATCTGAAAATAATTCTACCCAATAAATGTGAGTGAGTCTATGCATTCACGTACATGTATGTACACACTGGAAGGAAATCATACTCCAAAGAAAATTAATACTATGAATTCCTAACTGATTAAAATGAGTTGCCTGCAAAGTACTGTATGAACTCAATTTATAAAGTGAACTTATCATCATCTGCATATACCAAGCATACCCAATGAACAAAAGCATGAAAATATATTACACAAATATATTCTTTCTCTTCGTCAAGCACAAGTAGTGAACAACAAGAAGAAATCAAGAGGAAGGAATTAGAAGTTTTGTGGTAAGGGAAAAGAGTAGCTGCTGCACAATAAAGAAAGGAAAGAGAGAAAGAAAATGATGTTTTAGGTATTACAAAATAAATTTCCACTCAGAAGGCAAACAGCTGCTAAAGCTCAGCTTATCTTCAAAAGCATCCACGCTGATTAGCAATGAAGTCTACAGCCATTTGTACCTCCTGCCTAGCTGTTTGTTTTCAACAGTCTTCTGTTCTTCTCAACGAAGGCAACTGACCTGCCCTGTGTTAATGCACAGGTGATTATTTAGGCAAAACATAGATTGTTTTCAGCAAGCATGGTATTAATTCCCTCAAATCATAATGTTTACACTATGTTTACCTAGCTTATGAGGAAAGTCTGGACTTCTTCATTAAAAGGGGGGGAAAAAAGTATAGTTTGAAAGCTTGAGAAAGTGAGACTATATATAAAGGGACTGTCCTGCTCATGTTAACATCCAGGCTGGTTCATAGCCAGATAGTTAGTTCCTCAGACAAACTACTAGATCACAGACCGTTTAGGCTGGTAAGTAAAAAACAAACACTCCCTCTTGAAAAAAAAGTCTGGAAAACAATTGGCAACCAGTGCAACTTTTTCAGCAATAGAATAAAATCTTCTCTGTATCACTCACCATTTGGCATCTTCAGTTGGTTTTACACCAGCTAACGTTTCTGAATATTCCTTAAGAACACACTACAGTAGACAAGTCAAATAGAACTACAATTCCAATTTGTCAGTTTTCTTTTTACCAATAGCCAGTGCTTTTTTTTTAAAATATATATATATAAAAGGTGCCGGAACTCACACATGTCATACAACCAACCTTGCCTATCCTACAAGGTTCTATCCCAAAAAGGTGCCGGAACTCCGTTCTGGGCGTTCTATGACAAAAAAAAGCCCTGCCAATAGCACCTCTGTCTTGTCTGGATTTAATTTGAGCCTGTTCACTCCCGTCCACTGCTTTCTTGGTTGTCTGATTTGTTTACGTGTTAGATTTATATTCTGCCTTTCTTTTGTTCGTGACCTCAAGAAATATACAAAACATTCCCAACTTCTATTTTCCCTTGCATCTGTATGCCTGTGACATGGGTTTAGCTAAGAGAAACTGACTAGCCCAAAGTCATTCTGTGAGCATCTGTGGGGGAGGACTAGAACTTGGAATTCTGTTTTTCCAATACTTGAACTCCTACAGACTCAAGTTTCAAGCAAAATAACCAGCTGCTATTTTCCTGGAGTTAGATTCAAAGCACACCAATGGTACCTACTCTAAGGCTCTCAGTGACTTCTCCCATTCTAAAGCCAGCCACCTTATAACAGTAGAAGAAATTCAATATCGTATCATAGAATACCTCTATTACTTCTTGAGGCTAAATGCCTTCTTTGTCAGGCAGACAACATAAAGACTCAGTGTACAGGAACTCAAAGTCCCAAGGAGTTGTTTCTTCTTTATACATATTTTGTCTACATTGGAGCAGGAGAGATACAGTTCTATGAGTGAACATGGAAAATGTGTGTGTGAATGTGTGTGTGTGTGTGTGTGTGTGTGTTGAAAGAGAAGCATATATAATAGATAGAATTCTATAATGATGTGTATAAGGGAAACAATGAATACGTAAAACTAGATTAGTTCCAGTTAGTATATTTCAATCTTTTAAAAAGCTAGTTGTCCTTTTTTTTTTTTTTTTGGCTGGGGTGACCAATTACTTTTTTTGACAGGTCTTCATTCTGTCATGGTTATTACAGTACATTGGGTTCCCAAGATAGGCAGGACTAAAATAAAATGAGAAAAAGCCCAAAATGGCTATGGACACTTGTTTTCCGTTTCTCTTTTCTCTCTCTCTAACTCCTCCCATTCTCAATCCCCCCCTCCTTCTGATGCCCTATTAACTGAGAAGAGGACTTAACATTCTTATTTTTTTCGATAAACTTATGGAAAGTGATCATTAAACCAGAACCACACAATAAGGAAAGCCAATTTAAAATGTATTAAAATTAATGTTCCATGAAAAAATCCAATGAAAAATTCAGTCTTCTGAGATCATTATTAAAACACATGGAAAGTGTCTAAAAGAATTAAAAAGTTCCCCAAGCAATAGCCCTATGAAAAATGGAAAAGAGAAAAGATCAGCACAGAAAGAGTTTATTTTTAAGGAGGTCAGAAGAGAGGGAAAATTGTAGCAGAGGACAAAAGAATAAGCCAAGATACTACAAAAATAAAATTGTCTGTCTCTCCATCTCGAGAGATTAGAAACTAGAATCCAACAGCAAAGACTATCGTTAGGAGTCTAATTATTTTTTATGAAGCAATATCTCACATTCAGACACCATTATTCCTGGTGACTTGTCAAAATATTTTGGTAATCTGTTTGGTTGCTGCTTGCGAATTGGATCAATTTTTCTCAAAATTGACACCATCTTCATTAACAGCTGAAACAATAAATCATAATTCCTTTATCCTCTGTCCTCCCTTAATTGCTCCATCTTACCCATCATTCCCTTTCAATAAGCAAAAGCCATAACTTGGTCCATCATTTTTTTTCCTTCTGGTCAACCCTCTCCTCCCCCCAGTCTCTTTAATTTTCACTGGTATATTTCCCATTCATTGCAGCTTTAAAAATAAAAAAAAATGAGAATATTATAGTTGTTGTTGTTAGTTGCGAAGTATATCAAAATACTGTGCTATTTCATTGGATTGTTATTTAACATAGCAAAGGAAACTGTACTTTACAAAATTACAAAAGTTAGATACCTTTTGAAATCCCAATGTTTCTTTGTGAAGAAAAGCGATCATACTGTTAAATTTTAACATAGCTCGGTGAGAAAACTCATTTAAAAAAAAAACTTGCACAAAGCTAAATATATTTAACCTAAAACAATTTAAAATCTTTTCGTAATCCTTTCTACTCATTTCTTTTAATTAAAAGTAATTCTATTTAGGCATGCATTGTTCTATAGCCAGGCTAAGATAATGCAGAGTTGTTTTCTTTTCCACCTTTAATCCCTTATTTTAATTTAAAGCATTGTGTTATCTTTCAACAAAATAACTAGCTTTCATGATCTCTTGCAGCTACAGAGGGATTGATCATTTTATCAGCTTTATTACAGTGATTTACTGCCCAAGAGATTCTTTACCAACCGACTTATAGTTTAGTCAGCATCCATAAACTGGGGAAACAGCAGAACAACAGGGATTATTAAAGCAAGAGCTCAGTAGGCCCTTTTTTTTTTTTTTACAATATCCTGACCCCAGAAAATGTTTCAAAAAATGTCCAAAATACTATGAAAGGAAAGACTTTTTTTAAAGGTCCTGAATAAGATATCTTGCAAGAGTGTTTGAAATGAGATCAAGGACCTTGCATGACATTAGGGCAGGGGTGTCAAACTCGCAAGGTCAGGTGACATGTCATGACATATCGCAACTTTTTTTTGCCATGGCCGGCACTGGGGTAGGCGCGGTTTCACTATGATTGCATCCGGGCCCATGGGCCGGCAGTTTGACACCCGTGCATTAGGATGTGTCAACTTCTAGCCCCTTTTACTCATTAGTTAATTTGTATTTTGGGGGAAGAGTAATTAGTATATGGCTGATGTGACACTGACGCACACAGGATAAGACAGTGTTCCACAGTGTTTCTCAACCTCAGCAACATTAAGATGTGTGGACTTCAACAAGTCAAGGCTGGCTGGGGAATTCTGGGAATTGAAGTCCACATATCTTAAACTTGCTGAGGCTGAGAAACATGGGGATCAGATGTGTTTTTAAAATTCTGCTGCATATTCATTTGGGTTGTTCCCAGCCTGTATGAGGAAGGACCTCCTGTTTGTATCATTACTATTAAGATTAGTTTGCAATAGTGGCGAAGATTAGTCTTAATAGATAAATGATTTGTTCAGAACTGGTCCTTTGCTTTCACATTCATGTAAATCCAATTCTGAGTACTAATTAGTTGTACCCACTTCTTTCTCTTTTAGGTGGTTTTTTGGAGCTATGAAACGAGCAGATGCTGAGAAACAACTCCTTTATCATGAGAATGAGACAGGAGCCTTCCTAATCAGAGAGAGTGAAAGTCAAAAGGGTGAATTTTCCCTTTCAGGTAACTTCCACTTTTTCTATCATAGAAATGTTAAATTAATTTTCTTTAGTTTGGTTTAGATAAATTGGCAACTGTTGACGATCACATGCACTTTTTATTTGGTGAGTGGTTTATTGTTTAGAAATACACATGCATACAGATTCGAATGTCTATGAATGAATACTTTTGAGAAGACTCTGTTATTCCTTAGGTTTTTAGCAGAGGGAATGTGCTTTTGGGTGCTTTTAAAGAAAAAAAGCTTACTTATAAACTTTGTGATTTTCTTTAAATCATTTGGAACAGGGAAGCCAAATTATAGAAAACTTTATTACTTTCACTTATCCCAACCCTTTTGCTTTCCTTTCCACAAGGATACCAGGTCTCGGTTGCCAAAATCTAAACAACCATTATATGGCAGCAGAGGGTTAAGAATGTTGTTTATATTTGCTGACATCTAGTGGTCATTCTTAAGATTACAGCCTAGATATTATAGCTGGACTTTCTCTGTGAAAATATTCCCATTCCAGCAAGACCTCCCTCTTGATTTTTTTTGACACCTCTGCAAGTGAAGCTTTATAAGACGATTCATCTCATGAACTTTTTACTCTATATGTAATTGTTGCTGAAGGATAGAATGAGGTTTTTTTTTAAATCTATGAAGAAGGTAATGGTAAATTATTTCCATACAACAATGTTAGTTCGTTGCATATACTTTCTGACCGGATGCAGGTCTCTTATGTTGACTTGCAAGGCAGATCTGGATTAGAGATCTTAATTTGTATAGAATATCTTGCATGGTGTCACTAAAATGACAAACAATGGAAGTAAAAAGTTTAAAGGGAAAAAAAGAAAAAGCATGTGGAAACAAGGATGGTTTGCAAAGTTAGAAATATATTTAGTGAAGATACCTTCAAGTCAGTGTTGACTCTTGGAGACTCCCTGGACAATTCCTGGCAGCTTTCTTTTTGGGAAGTGGTTTGCCCTTACCTGCTTCCTAGGGCTGAAAAAGAATGACTGGCCCAAATCACCCAGCTGGCTTCAGGGCATTGTTTACCTTAAAGAATCTTTATTCGAGAAGCAGAACATCGGCACCAACATAATCAAAGCCAAAAACTGAATCCCTCCCCTTGAGCACATAGTATCAAAGCACAATTCCCTCCTCCAATTAACAGTTATAAATCACATTCTCCAATTAGTTTAAAGCACGGGCTTTCCCTCCAGCTCTCCAGCCCACCAATTCTTATCATCTCGTATTTCAACAACCTTGATTCTCATGCTAGGTTCAGTATTATTATATCTAGCTGAACTCTCATGCACATCCCCCCTCCCCAGCATCATCTAACTCTAAAAGCAAAAGTAGAAGAAAATGGCTACATCTCCATCTGTTGTCAAAGCAAAAACATCCGATGTTAGCAGCGTTGACACTCTTGGTTTCTAGCCTAATGCCTTAACCAATGCCTCAACTGGCTGTTTGGAGAGAAATAATAAACAATAAACACTCAGCTTATGTATATTTTGTTTTATTTTCTGATGCCATCTCTTTCATTTCTCTGGCTTACTATTTCTTACTCCTTTTCTGTGCTTTGTACAACATTGCTTAACCTGATCCTGGTAGCATGATGTGTATGTAAGTATGATGTGCAATAAAAGACACTATAATTGGATGCTTTTCGGTAACCCTATTTTATTGATGTAGAATGGACTCTTAAAAACTGGAAAGTAGAAGTACAGTAACATGCACCCACTTGTGGCAGCTGATGGAAGTTGCATATCCAAGGCATATGTTCCCTTTTTTAAAAAAAGTTTTCAGATAACTTTATTAGATTTTTGAAATTAGAAAGACAAAAACTAACAAAAACTAATAATTAAGATGGAAAAGAGAAAAAAAAGTAAAGAATTAAAGGAAAAGCACAGCCAAAGGTGAGGAAAGAAAAGAAAAAGAAATACAAAGGAATTATTTCTGACTTTCTTTTAAAACAGATATAAATAGCGATGATTAGAAAAATAGTAGATAATTAAGGCATGTTTCCTGATAAAATAATCAGTTTAAAGAAACCAGGGTTAAGAATTCCATTAATGTAGAATTATTGTTAATGAAACCCTGCATATATTAAAAGTACAAGTCATACATCCAATCTGAGTTAAAAACAGGGCTGCTGTTCTTCACATTGGTCAGTGAAAATTGGAAAGATGATGTGCAGCAATTGATACATTTATATTTATATCTGTGAGTAATATCCTATATGAATAAAATTATTTATACGTATAAACATGCTATTGATCTCTTCTTTTTCTCTGCGTCATGATACCACATTTGGCTTCTTTCTTTTGAATCTTTTGAGAGGGTCAAGGAACAGTTATGCAGTAAGTGATAGCTTTATTTTGGTTAATGACCAACTTGAAACAATATATATAAGAAAAACCCATAGAGGAATAGCATAATTAAATAGAACAACTCAGCATTGTGTTCTAGAGGGAAGAACAGTGCAATTTTAATTTTGATCCTTTCACTAACTTTTATGGGCTTTTAAAAAGATAAATATATTTCTACTTATTTACTTTATTTAGCTATATTTATTACATGTATACCTGGCCTTTCTGGCTTTTCTAGCTGGCTACTTAGATTTAGAGCATTAGAGTTATTAAACTCCAGTGTAATGCTATCAATACAGGTAGTCCTCAACTTATGCCCACAATTGAGCCCAACATTTTTGTGGTTAAGTGAAACATTTGTTAAGTGAGTTTTGCCCCATTTTACGACTTTTCTTGCCACAGTTGTTAAGCGAATCACTGAAATTGTTAAGTCAGTAACATGGTTGTTAAGTGAATCTGGCTTCCCCATTAACTTTGCTTTGTCAGAAGATGATCACATGATCCCAGGACACTGCAACAGTCATAAATATGAACCAGTTGCCGAGCATCCAAATTTTGATCACACGACCACAGAGATGCAATGGTCATAAGTGTGAAAAATGGTCATTGGTCACTTTTTTCAGTGCCGTTGTAACTTCGAACTGTCGCTAAATGGACTGTTGTAAGGTGAGGACTACCTGTATTCTGAGGAAAGGCACTACATAGCTGAATGCCAAAGATACAAATTTGGGGTGGGCTTGGTGGCTGACGGGAGAACCTGGGCAGTCTGCAAATTATAGGAGATCCATGTTTGCCGCAGAGAGTTCAGGAATGATCATGTAGACCAGACATGTCAAACACAAGGCCCGGGGGCCAGATGTGGCCCGCGAAGTGGTTTCATGTGGCCTGCGAAGCCATCTTGGAAACAGAGAGGGAACGGCCCCCGCTGCCTTGGCCCTGGCCCAGGCCAGCTGGGAGCCAATGTACAATTTTGTTGTGGCCATCTATGCTGAAACGCATTCAGTCTTAGCTCCACAAGGCCGTCTAGAAACAGTGAGGAACCAGCCCCTGCTGTGTTGGCCCCGCCCCCTGGGTGCATGCTGGGGAGGTGTCACCCTTTGTGAGGAATGAAGAAATGGACCATGCCTTGGCACTTTCCCCGGTCCCACCCCCTTCTGCCAGAGACCCTCAGATCTGTCCCACTCCTGCCCAGGCCCCCACAGGCACCCTTGACATGAACAATGTAGATCTGGCCATGCCCACCCAGTAGGCCACACCCACTCCATCTATGCCCACCCAGTAGGCTGCACCCACTCGGCCCCCCGAGGGCAACCGTAATGCTGATGCGCCCCTCAATGAAATTGAGTTTGACACCCTGATGTAGACGCTCCGTGAAGGACTCAGTTTTCATAAGCCATTGCGGAAGAGAACTACAGAATAGCCTTTTCTGATTTCTTTGTAGGCGTTGGAAAAACAAGACATGGTATTTTTGTTTCCTTTTATTTTCTTAGTTTGGGATGGAGCAACTGTGAAGCACTACCGAATCAGAAAGATGGACCATGGTGGTTTTTTTCTGACACGGAGGGCAACATTTCACACTTTGAATGCTTTTGTCAAGCACTACAGTAAATCCAGCGATGGGCTGTGTGTAAGGCTTGGGAGGCCTTGCATTAAGGTACAGTAAGTCTGAATGTTTCTCCTCTCCCCCTAAAAATATAGAGATTAGTATTTGATTATTGAGATAATACAGGTATGACTCCCCTACATGCTGTGATCATTGCTCTAAGAAATGCAGTTAACTGTATCATTCCATTCCTTAGGTATTTCAACATCGTATCATTTCGGGCAAATAAATGTGCAATTGAGGTGGAAAAGACGCATGTCACTGTGTGATTTATGAAGTCACAGTATAAACTTATATTGAGATGAAATCACTAAGCTCATAACTCTTTCTGTCTCTAAGTGGTGCCTAAAAACAGAAACCACAGATCCGATCAGGGTTATAGAGACAGTACTTAAATATATTTTAAAGCTTGCTGGCTTTCTCCTGCCTCCATCTAGGGATATTTTAATCTTTGAGATACTAAAAGAAACACTTGAACAAAAATAATCTATTCGTTAAATCTCTGAATCTTTTCCAACATTATAGATCATTTCAAAAGCAATTGCATCAGGATGTGAATGTGTTCACATTTACTCTTTTGATTCACTGAAATGAGATGCTGTTATGAAATGTAGACAGTATGAAGATTAACTCTTTGCATTTTGTGTAGAGTTGCACAATGCATAAGCAAATATGTTTTGTTTTCTACATCCTATTTCTGCATCCATTTTTGATATTTATTTTGGTGAAAATAAATCTGCCCTTTTATATACATTTCTCCTAAGATGCACATTTTTAATGTATTGTTCTATAGTGCTCAGAGTTTAACATTTGGTTGTAGATATAAATTAGATTGGTTCACATTAAAATATAAATCTGTCCAAGTTGAGGGATGTTATATTCAAAACATACCCAGTCCTTATGCAGTATAGGATATTTAAAGCCCAGATTATTCTTGCCATGCCTCTTCCTTTTTTATTATTTATCAGATTAATTAAATACATTGTGTTTTGACCTACCTGTAATTGTCCAGAGAACTTAAGTTATTAATTCATGTTTTCTGGACATCTTCCTAAAACCCTCCAGAGATGGAAAACCTATAACCTTTATTAGCAGACTATTCCGCTGCTGTATAGATTCATAATCAGTAAGTTCCTCCTTATGTTTAATTAAGGAAGAAATCTAAGTAGCTGAAACTTGCAGTCCTAGTTTCTCTGGCAATGAAAAATAGTTCTTCACATGCTTCCCTGTAAGACCTTTTTATACAACCAAACGCTTATTTTTGTCTCCCTTTCTCCAGGCTGAATATCCTTTTTTTTTCAGCCCTTCAGCTAACCTACCCTTATAGGGTGGGACTGTATCACATTTGGTGTCTCCACCTTCTCACTTTCAATATTCTTTTGGAAATGTGGTACTCAGAATCACATCCTGTACTCTAGTAATTTTACCAGGGCAGAATTTCATGTGTCTTTGACACAGTATTTCTTCTTGAAGCATCCCAGAATTGTGTTTTAGAACTATCTCACACTGTAGACAGTTGGTTGTTAGTGACCGCACCTGTAAGGACCTGCCTCAACTAGATCTCCCAAGAAAGCAGAACTCTTGAAACAGGCATTGTCTCAAAAGGAAACTTTTACTGAGAGTTAATGATGGTAAGAGAGCAAAGCAAGATCTGAGATTTGGCGTGTAACGGATCACATCAAAAAGGCATCATTCCTCCCCCCAGACTCCAACTGTCCGGTTGAAATCCAGCCAATCCATAGGTGCTACCGTATTATGAGAAGCTGGAGATTTAGTGCTCTTCTCAAGGTCTCTCTTGGTTTCGTTTCCCAATGGTCCCATGCTCTGTTATCTGGAGATAAGGCAGATGTTTTCAGTTCGCATTCCTCTCACCCAGAGGGAGGGCATCTCGCCCAGAGCAGAATGAAGCAGATAATATTCCCCATGCAGGCACCCTTCTTCAACAGTATGGCAAGCCCCAAAAATACATAGGCAAAAGCAAGGAAGGGAGAAAGGAAAGAATGAAAGGCAAATATATTTGAGGGACTCTGACAGCACTCATGTCTCCTCTGATATAACCATGAATTTCTCATCTTGTAGGTGTGCTCTATTATTCTTTTCCCCTGAATATAATATCTTGTATATCTCTCTGTTGAAGGCCATCTATCATTTTATGAATAAAATAGCCTGTGATAAAATTAAGGTGAAGCTAGCAACAAGGTGCACAAGGTAGCCTGGAAAAATAAAGCACAAAAAGGAACTGTTGGAAATACCATAATGTAGGTATCAAGCAAGCCTATTTGAGGGGGATATTTCACAGAAGTGATATACAGCACTGCTTGCTTTGTGAAGGCCCGCATGAATGATAACAAGGCTAAAGAGTGAAAGAGGGATTCCTTCAAACAGTCTGACCTCAAAAGGTAACATGATGCAAATTGTTTAGGGATGTAAAGTTTAGGACCAGTGTTTTGAATTGATCTAAGAGATGGATTAGTGGAAGTGTCACACCATAATTGCATTGAGTGGACTCTGGCTACAGAATAAGCGGGAATTCTAAACCATTTTCAGTGCATAATGTGCTTTGCCATAAGCACAATGCAATAAGCACAATGCAATAAGCAAAGCAGGCAATGATCAAAGCAGAAATAATTACCAGAGGATTACTTATGTCTCTGGAATAACATGATCAGCATTAGTAATAAGTGATGAAAAGTGACTGAAGAGCAGTCTAGTGCTGTACCTCTAGTGAATGATAAATCCAAGAACATCTCTGTGCAATGCAGATGGTGATTGAAAAAGAGTGCAATCTGTTTTATAGTGCCAAGTTCTATTCTCGATTGGATGGACAATCATTGACATCCAATTTTAGTATGGTAAGACTGGTTCGATTTCAATTGCCTTACTTTTGTTAGATTAAAAAAAACATAGTTGGATTTTGTCCTCATGTACACCTAACTATGGCAGAAACAAGCTCTGAAGATACCTTTTTTTTCTGTTGTGTTCCTATGACATTCATCTCATCCTCAGCCCACAAGCCAAGCTTCAAATATTCCTTAGCTTACCAGCATTAAAGCAGCATTTTCTTCCTTATTTTGACTGCATCCCAAGGCAACCTCAAGGTGTATAAAATCTGTTAGACTTTATTACTATTACACTGGAGAAAAGTTGGATTTCTGGCATTGATAGGAAACAGAAGTGGGAGATAGAGGTAGCCAACTGGGACAGGACATTTCAGGTTGCTACACGTAGTCCATCAATTTATCGCCACAATTGAGCCCCAAAATTTATGTTGCTAAGCGAGAAATTTGTTAAGTGAGTTCTGCCCCCACTTTACGACTTTTCTCGCCACATTTGTTAAGTGAATCACTGCAGTTCTTAAATTAGTAACACGACTGTTAAGTGAATCTGGCTTCCCCATTGACTTTGCTTGTCAGAAGGTCGCAAAAGGGGATCACATGGCCCAGAGAAGTGCAACTGTCATAAATCTGAACCAGTTGCCAAGCATCCGAATGTAAATCACATGACCAGCATGGGGATGCTGCAATGGTCGTATGTATGAAAAATGGTCATAAGTCTCTTTTTTCAGTGCCGTTATAACTTTGAACGGTCACTAAATGAACTGCTGTAAGTTGAGGACCACCTGTATAGTATTATATTGACTCAAGAATGGATGGATAATGCTATAACTCTGCCTTTTCACCCATTGTACCACTTTTAGGATATGGCAACATCCAAGTACCACCAGTCGCCTAGCAAGGTGTCAAAAACTTGATGATCAAAAAAAAAAAAAAAAGAAAAAAGTGATAAAGTACAGGTAGTCCTCAACTTACAACAGTTCGCTCAGTGACTGTTCGAAGTTACAACGGCACTGAAAAAAGCGCCCCCCAAGCCACAGCCGAGCAAGACAGCGCCCGGCGGCGCTCTTCCTCCTGTCTGAGGTTTTCATTGTTGTGAGCATTTCTGTTGAGGATTGGCAGCAGGGTTGGGTGGGGGGGTGTTTGGTTTTTATTCCCCCTGTCTGCTGGGTGGTTGCATCAGGTTTTGGTCACTTCACATGACCCTGGGACACTGTGACCGTCATAAATATGAATCAGTTGCCAAGCATCTGAATGTCAATGACAAGACCCTGGAGATGCTGCAACATTCCAGCTGATCGGCGCTTCTTCTGGGTTCAGCAGAAGTGCCAGGATCAGCTCCGAGCTCCAGCTGGAGCCTGGCGCTGATCCTGGCACTTCCACTGAGCCCTGACAGCCCTGAAGAAGCGCCGATCAGTTGGAAAGTGGCACTGATCCTGGCACTTCTGCTGAGCCCTGATAGCCCTGCAGCTCCAGCCATCTCTCGCTCAGGCTTGTGCAGTGCTGCCACTAGTTCAGTTCATTCCCCTCCCTCTCTATCACTTTTCTAGGATGGTCACATACCACCTGCCAGGTGTCAATGTACCACAGGTGGTACCCATATCACTGGTTGAAAAGCCCTGCCCTAGAGATTGCTATTGTCTACCGGCTGGTAACAGCTTAATGCATATCCAGAGATAAACTCTTCCAGTGTTTAATTCTTCATATCTTCTTAGCAACCTTTTCTTCATGATAGACAGGTCTAGTTTCTTCAAACTTTCTCCATAAAACTTTTTTCCCCCTATAATGACCTTGTGGCCATCTCTGAATTTGATACATTTGTCTTCATTCTTCCTGCAAATGCAAAAAAAGTACAACTACTAATGTTCTGTGCGTGTGTTGAATAAAATGCTAGCACCTAAAAGTTATGTGTGGAAGCATAGGTAAGTACCTTTTATATATATATATATATATATATATATATATATATATATATATATATATATATATATATATATATATATATATATATATATATATATATATATATATATATATATATATAAAACAGCCTGGAAAGTTTGTCTTCATTGCTTTCCCAACTTTTAATTAGTCTTCAGAAAGGAGGAAAATCAGTTGAGAAATATCAGGGTTTTATCAAGTGATTAATTGTTTGATTGATTATCTGCCATCAAGTCGTTTTCTACTCGTAGCAACCACAGAGATAGATTTTTCTCCATGATTTATTAACTAGAAATAATTAATTCAGACTTTATACTCTATGGATTGGAGATAGGTCTGATTTTTTTTCCTGGAGATCATTGGTTTCTATACCAAGTATTGATTATCTTGACCAAGTTTCAAAGGAAATAGCAATTGCCCTATTTTCACACATAACTTTAAGGCTTAATACAAAAAAAAAAAATCTTTAGACTGTGCAGGATTCTTGCTGCATCTCCACCCCAGTGTCAAGGCCAGCGGGTGAAGGAAACCCTGAGAGGACTCCAGAAGTTCAGGAATGAGTGAATGATGACATGATGGCTTCAGTGTTGTCATGGCAATTGAAGAACCCAATATAATCTTCTGCCATAAACAATGAATACTCATCTCTCACCTGCTAGTCCCATATTGTGAAAGGTGCCAATAAAGCCTTTGGATAAACTCAAGTCATCCAATCAGGTCATCTTCCTGTTCCAAATTTTACAGAGGACTCAGACATGATCCTCTATCTGGAACCATCTCTGTTTCTCCGCGATTTCCATTTGTTTCTTGATAGGAAAACAATTCTGTTATGGAAATAAATATGGAACATCTCACCAGTAAAACTGGAGTGTGTGTGTATGGGGGGGGGAAGGAGGATGTTTGGAGCCATCTGTCTGGAAGCACCCCAACACACATGGCTCATCCTAGATATTTTTGAATTTGAAAACATTCAAATAATTTTTTTGGCTTTAAAATAAAAATCATAAAACGAGAATGTGACAATAAGAATATAGCATTTCCTGCTGGAAGTTAGTGCTCAAAGTAACTGTTTCATGCTGCTTTAGTAAAGGCAAGGCAACATGCTGTCTTTACAAGAGAAAGCATTTGGTAGTCATTGTAAGAATATGCATCTTTTTGTTAAAAGCATGGTTTTATTTGCTGTCCAAAGCTTTTCGTTTAGAGGACTGACTATTAATAAAAACCTATGAAGTTTGCCATTTTGGCATTCTTAGGCAAAGCAAAAATGGATGTTTATGTATGTTTTTTTTTATTTCCATCCAGACAGAAGTCCCAACACCATATGATTTATCATATCAAACTGTAGATCACTGGGAGATTGATCGGAATTCTCTACAACTTTTAAAAAGATTGGGTTCTGGGCAATTTGGCGAGGTCTGGGAAGGATTATGGAATAACAGAACACCAGTGGCAGTTAAAACATTAAAACCAGGTATGTTGAACACTTCTGCAATTTTCTTAGACAAATCGTACAATCCTGATGTGGTCAACATCTTCATAAGCATTTCTGCAGCTAAACCCTTTAAACATCCAATTCAGTTCTAGTGTTGATGCTGCAAAGATCATTTTGCAGTTTTAATTCTTGACCTATAGGTTGGTCATTTTTTTCCAATGGTGAAAACTCAGACAGCATCCCGGCTCTACAGCTCTCTCCTCTCTCTGATGAAATACAAGTGCTCTGGTGCTTTAACACCATCTCAACAGGTTTTTGAAACAGAGAAGAACAAACAAACAAACAATGATGTCAAGGCAAAGAACAGGGGTGGGTAGAGAGCTGGGTGGATGCTAATTTTTGTGCTATGTCGTTAAGGGGTTGAGGAAAGCTCTGGTTCTGGTTAGCTGATAGAAGCACTGAAAATTGTGAGGACGGCAGTGCTGAAGTGAGGATGGCGCACTCACAAGTTTTAGAAGGTAAAATTGATAGCTCTGTGGACGTTCCTTTAGGCTACTTTATATTTGCAAGTGGATTTTTCACCAAATTAAGGCATTCACGTCTCTTAAAATAAAAAGAAACAGCAATAATTTAAAATTAAAGTTGGTATTATCTGGGGATGTTTTAATTATTGAAATTAAAGAAATAGGGGCTGTGTTGGCTTTTCAAGGATGTGAAGACTGGATTTTTCCACAGCCTTTGGGATGAGAATATTAGCACGGGAGCACTGGCATAGATTGATGAGTCTAGTGGTTTCATGTTTCTATTGAACTTTGATGCAATTTTAATTTTTAGTTTTCTCTTTTAATGAAATTCTCTTTATTTTATTCATTACCCAGAGTTCCTTGGATAAATAGGCAGTCATATAAATTAGATGAATGAATGAATAAATAAATCTTAGCAGTACTATACAGGTGTTTTATAGTACAGGCAGTTATAAGTATTCTCCTGGGCATTCTGCCTCATTTCCTTACCAAGGAGAAATGTGTCAGGTAAATGATGCCAAGCAAAACTTTCAGTTTCTCTTAAGATAGCAAGACTTTTGGTTGGCATTTTATATTATACCCCTTTTTTCTAATTCAGACCAAGGCATTTGACTGCATTGGACATAAGTCAGAAAAGTATATAGTCCACTTTCTACCTGTTCTTCCCTAGCCCTTAAGGTTCCTTATCCCCAAGCCTTTGTCATCTGAGGTATAAAATTAAACCAATTGCTCACAAGTAAGAAATACTAAGATAATATACACGAACTACTTAACATGCATTGCTTTGTTTGACCTTCTGACTCAGCAGTCTGAAATGACTATGTGCAATTCACACTTACTGCTTCCCATCATGAGTCAGGCTGCCCACCATTTCCTAAGTTCATATACAGATGACATCATCCTACACTTCTGCTAAACCAGCGGTTCTCAACCTATGGGTCGCGACCCCATTTGGGGTCGATCGACCATTTCACAGGCTCAACAAGATGAATTTAGATATAATTATGTTACAAGAAGTCCACATAAAAAAACAACATCAATATTTATTAAATTGTCCTAAATTGGGGAATATGTTTGCGGCACTTTCGCAATATAAAAAAGGAGGAGTGGTAGTATATATTAAACAAGAAATTGTGGCTAAGCAAATTTACAAGGATGAAGATGGCAGAATCTTAATAGTGGAAGTAATTTTGAATAAAACCAAAATTCTCCTGGTTGGAATTTATGCCCCGAATGAGGGGCAAAAACGTTTCTATAAGAAACTGCATAATATTATCAGCCAGATAGAATATGATAGCATCTGCATAATGGGTGACTTCAATGCAATTGTAGATAAGAACTTAGATTATAAAGGTGGAAAGAGCAGAAAAAGAACTAGAGGAACAATACCAGATGATCAATAATACAGTTGGAAGGGACCTTGGAGGTCATCTAGTCCAACCCCTGCTGAGGCAGGAAACCTTATACCATTTCAGACAAATGGCTGTCCAGTCTCTCCTTAAAAACTTCCAGCATTCACAGCTTCTGGAGGCAGGTTGTTCCACTGGTTAATTGTTCTAACTGTCAGGAAATTTCTCCTTAGTTCTAGGTTGCTTCTCTCTTTGGTTAGTTTCCATCCATTGCTTCTCGTCCTGCCTTCAGGTGCTTTGGAGAATAACTTATCTTTCCACAGAAATAATAGCAGAGAAAAGAAGGATTGCTTGGAACGAACTTTCCCATAACAGTTTGGTAAAAGCAAACCTAGATTTATTTCACTGAAATACCAGTAGGGATTTTGGTTCCTATTAATCCTAAATTCTCATGGTAATGCCAAATGGAATTAGAAGCATGACGTTACTTTGAATCAAATAATGTTAGGACTGAAATATTGGCCATGGGATTTAGTGACAAATTCTTTTTGTCAACATGGAAGGCAGAAAGAAAAACCCTTTAAAAAAATTCATATGGATCCTGGGAATGTTCAATTAAAAATCTTGTAACACTATATAGTGAATAGTGAGTTTGAATGTGAGAGTCGTATTTGTTCAAGCAATGGATATCATAAATAGGTTTTGGTCTGATTTTTTTTTAAAAAAACTCTTATATTAACCAACAAAATACTTGTACTATTTTACAGGCACAGTTAAATAATTATTGTAGGACAGAGAATTATTGTAACATAGAGAGTAACCGAACTATTTATTTAAAAAAGAACATAGGGATAATAACATCTAGGATTATTGAATGCTACGCATTTGAAAATTTTCACATGATAAACCCATTCATTTGAGCCATTTTCTCCATTTGCTTAAAATTGATCTTTGATCCTGCCAATGTTGTATTAAAAGGAAAAATGATTAAACTGCAGCTTTTATATCAAGAAAGGCCTTCAATTAACCACACACACACACACACACACACACACAAACACACCCCATGCCTAATTAAACTGGCACCAATCTTCATAGGAACAAAGTGGTCCCATGAAGCACTTGTGAGATCTTTGATTACTATATCAGCATTGAAGTATTGTTATTTTTTTTGAAAACCATGCCAACTGCATTTGTAAGTCTATTAGCTCATTATATGTTTTAAGTATTTTACATTTTAATGCATTCCAATACTAAGTTTGACCTTAGATATTCTTATTACATTGATGCATTTTCCTGATGCTTTTTAAAAGGAAGGGAGGGATAGTAAAGGAAAGAAGAGTAGCAAATTTCTGGCAGTGATTTAGTCATTATTTGGTAAGAATGCCTGATAGGATAGAATAGATTTTAACCATATTGTGCCAAGTATTGCTTTAAAATTTAAATATAATGTCTCTAAGCACAGGGGTTTAAGGAGCCAATCTAAAAAAAAATCCATATTACATTTGCTCATGCAATAATATTTTAAAAGGACTACAAGGGAAATTACACACCTCTGTAAAGCTTAGTTTGGCTCTAATACAGAAGAAGACCAAAAACAGCCCTCTAGTTTTGCTGAACCCAAATCCCTTCTGTTCTTGCCAGCAAGGCCAATAGTGAGGAATGCTGGGATTTGAAGTTCAACAATGCCAGAAAGCCATACATTGCCCATATCTTTTCTAAGGTTCCATATAAAATTTCCCATAAAATTCTCAGTAGTCTTTTTCATGCATTTTAAAAGTATGTGAGGTTCACATATGAGATGAGAAGACTATGCAGTAAGTGACTAAAACACTGATTTTCCATGGTAAATGGCCTGGAGAAGATTATAGTAATTAAATAAATCTTTCCACTAGAATAGCCAAACATATTCTATTTATATATTTATTTATTGTTTTTATCCCAACTGAACCTATAGGATAACTTTCCTTACTTTCATAGCCCAAAAAATGTTAGAACCTCAGAGTTCCCAGCCAGATGGAATCTAAAATCCAAGACATATAGATGTTCCAGATGTGGAAAATAGTCTAAAAAGATTTATTTATTTTTTAAAAAAAGAAACACTAAAGGTGTATTATTTGCAAAAAAATGCAAATATTTGGAATATGTGTATATTGGAAAACAATCCCCAAAAATACAAACAAATCTGCATGTGGATTGTTACTATTTTTGGGGCAAGTGTTTGCAATTGAGTCATAAAGAATTCAAAGTGAATAAAATAAGAATTTGAGCAAATTGAAATGGATATTGTCATCAATTGATACTTTTGGCTTCATGGAATCAACTTCAGACTGTGATAGTGATGGAAGACGATGGATCTATTCATATGTGGTTCCAACCCACCTACGTTCACAACAATAATAACAAAGGAATTTCAACTTCACTTAAATGGATTATATTGACAACACACAGCCAGAAAAAAAAATTCAACACAACACTAATCTAGATTACTTGTCTAAATTGTTGTGAAAACTGATTTTTCCCTGGCATGGATTTACTGTGTTTCATTTCGTGATACCAAAACTTGCAATACTTATTTATTATAACATGTAATACAATAATTCTAAGATACAATGAGCTATAACAATATATCTTGAAGATGGTAAGCAGATCTTTGTTATGGATTAAATCTGTGGCTAGAAGTTGAATTCAGATAGCGAAGATGTTGAAAATTACCGCACATTTTCTGATTATGCTTCCATTCTGAGGATTCAGATGAATGGTGAAATCAATAACACCGCTGCGATTTCATCTTTGGTAATAACCAATAGCATTTATGTGGGGATTGAGGGAAGTTGGAGGGCCAGAACTACAATTGCTATTGTTGCTGAATTTGTTTATAGAATCATTTTTTGGGGGGAAAAAAGTAATGTGTTGTCATTTGCTATTTCAATTTCATAAATTCCATATCTGAATTATGTAGGGGGGGATTTGCATTGCTATCTTTGCTGATTAGCAAGGAGGCAGACAATATCCCTGGTTATTTCCACAAGACTGTGGGGCAAACCAGAATAGCCCTTAATAACACACACTAATTTTATTTCACTGCTGTTCTCATTTCAGGTTCAATGGATCCAAAAGACTTCCTCAGGGAGGCACAGATAATGAAGAATTTGAGACACCCTAAGCTTATACAGCTCTATGCTGTTTGCACTTTACAGGATCCAATTTATATTGTTACAGAGCTGATGAGACATGGGAGTCTGCTAGAATATCTCCAAAGTGAGTAGGAAACATTTCATTTAGATAGAGTGTGGCAGTCTGCCGTAAAGCAAACACACTGGTATTAAAAAAAAGGGAGGGGAGAGAAGGAGAGATGAGGAGATCAATCTAGTGTGATTGGATATGAAGCCAATAATGACTGGCAGGGATTGACATGGTGTGTGTGTGTGTGTGTGTGTGTGTCCCAAACTACTTACACTTTGAATGGCATGCTGGGAATATATTCTAAGAAATGATAGGGCAGACAAAAGCTAAAGTAGATTTAATCTTAACAAAGTGAAATGAAATAATCAGTGTGGTTTTTTCTTCTGCCCCTTCAGTCTCATTTAACATTCTAATTTAGTGAAAATTTTGGAATGGTGTGTCCAAGTCCCTCTCAAAGCTTTGGGGAAGGTATGTGGACCCTCTATTAGAGCCTTCATAGCTATTCCGAGACTTCACAAAATGCTCTCCCAAACAAACAAAAATAGGTCATTGTTATTTCCAAATAGTAAAAACTGTCTTTCTTCATGTATACATATCGCAGGGACATTCCTGCAACAACCTGAAGAAGATATCTTTCTTTTTCTTTCTATTACATAGATGTACGGATACGGAAAGACCGAAAAATGTTGTGTAAACTTAAACATTTATGGGAAAGGATTTCTAGAGAAAGGATGCAACTTTGCATTTTATTTTTATGCAGATGCATATCTGTTTGTCTCTATTTCTGATAACAAGTCAAGATCGTATAGTATATTAGAAACATATTAAATAACAGACCATCCTCGCAGCAATCTTTGCTTTAGATCCTCAGTGTATGAATTTGGGTGCTTCAAAGTTATCCAGAAAACTGAGAAAAGGCCTTGACCCAGGCTTTTCTGGACCATATTGTGTTCTTGAATTCTTCCTCACCTGATGTATCATTTCAGAATGATAGACAGACAGACAGACAGACAGACATTTGTGTCTTTGACTCAGTGTTGAGTTCTGGCAACTGTCTGGACATGTTCCTGCAGTTTTCTTCACAAGATACTAGAAGTTGTTTTCCCTTTTCTTTCTCCTAAGGCTGAGAGAAAGTAACTGGCCAAAGGTCATCCAAATGGATTTGTGCCTAGGCAGTACTAAAACTCACAGTCTCCTAGTTTCCAGCCCGGTGTCTTAACCACTACACCAAACTGGTTCTCTCCCCAGGAGAAGCACTACATATGCACACACATACACAGGGCTTTTTTTTGTCATAGAACGCCCAGAACGGAGTTCCGGCACCTTTTTGGGACGGAACCTTGTAGGGTAGGTAAGGCGGGTTGTATGACTGTGTGAGTTCCGCCCCCCCCCTTTTTTTTTTTTACAAAAAAAGCACTGTACATACACACATACACTCACACACTCCCATAAACCATCATTTTGAGGTTTAAAGCCAGAATTTTTGTGTGTGTGCTTTTTGGAAAGAGATTGTTTGTATTCTATTTCTCACCCTGGCTTGGCTGTAGAGGGGCAATGTTTACAGAACAGCCATGATGAGTCTCAAGCTTCTCGTTTCTTCCTTGCCAGCTCTAGTCTTTATGTCATCTATTAAAAGAAGTGTAATATGAAGATGACATGTTATATCCTTGGGGATCTGCACCATAAAAAATTAAGGGAAAAAAAGTGGATGCAAATAACATCCTCTCTATAGGTAGAAATGCAGCTTTCAACAGCAGGGAAGATTCAGTCCCATTTTGACTTGCCATACTAAACTGTGGGATATTTTGTACAACATTCATCAGTTACTTTACCCCAACATATTCCCTCCCAACCGCATACAACAATAGGACTGTTGTAAGATCCTCTCGGTAGTTAATCTTCAGTACTGTATAATATAATTTGATTATAATACCTGATTCTTAAAATTACAAATCCTGTTCCACCTTCCTTCTCACTTCCCAAAAACTGCAGTATTCATATGATGGCTGCATCTGCTTATTCAGTGAATTGGGTGAAGCCGAAGCAGATGCTGTAGTGCTTTCTCTAAAGAGAAAGAGGAAGAAACAAATTTTACTGAGGCAGAAAAAAGGTCAGGGGAAAAAAGCAAGCACACATATCTCAAGGAACAGTAGCAGTTGGTGATTACAATGTCTCCTTTCTGCTACTTAGTCTTTGATATCTGCCGAAACACTTACAGTACTTGTCATTCATTTCTATTCTTGTCTCCCAGCTGTTCCACTTTCCCGGAGCAGTTACAAAACAAAACACAATAAAGTACTATAGTCATCCTGTTGCAGCCTCAGTCTGGCTAGGTGAAGGAAAATGAGCAGTAAATCCTCAATGACAGCCTTGTAGATCAAAACATTGCCATCTTGTGGGATCTAGGAAGCGTGCCTTTTCCATGGCAGACCTTCCCTATAGCCCTTTCTGTTGACATTTCCACCCTCTTAGCCTTCTGAAAAGCTCTTTAAGACCTGGATGTCTATGGAGATTCTTAGTCATTCAGGTCATGGTTTGTCCCAAAGATGCTTTTTCAAAAGGCAGCTGACCTTTGTTTTTCCTTGAAGACATTTAGCTTCTCATCCAAGAAGCTTCTTCAGTTCAGTTCTGAAGAAGCTTCATGGACGAGAAGCAAAACATCTTCAAGGAAAAACAAAGTCTAGTTGCCTTTTGAAAAAGCACCTTTGGGGCCTTAAGACCTGGCTTTTCTTTTAAGCCCTGGGATAGGGTGAGGTGGATGAGAAGATTTAACAGGTAACTGCATGTGGAAGTTTAACTGTGCTATCAATTTTTAATGTTTATGGTTTTCCTAGATATATGTATTATTTTGTTTTATTAGTGATGTTGTTTTCATTGTCGATTGGGAGCTGCCCAGAGTTGGACGTAAGATGGACAGTTGTATAAGTGTTTTAAATGAAATAAATAAATAAATAAATCCAATAATTTTATTGGACAAGTTTGGAGAATCGGGCCCAGTTCTATTACATAACTGGAGTCCTGTCTCCTTCCCTTTTCCTTTCTAGAGAAGGTTGTTGAGAAAGTGGCTACGAAGCTACAAAGGACCACTTTCTGCTGGAACAGCTGTGCCTAGCTATGGCAGGTATGCCAATTGCCTACCATTCAAGAACATAACATCCTGGTAATTGTCACTCTTACCCTCATGTCTGGACTACCGCACTGAACAGGCAATTATACTTGTAATGCAGAATGTTACGGTCAGCATGCTGACTGGTACCATTCAATATAGCCATATGCAGCACGAGCAGAATTGGCTGCCAGTTGGTTTCCACATACAAGTCAGGTATGGAGCCTGGCCATCTGCAAGGCTGTTTATTCCAAGTAGAATCTGTCTGTCCGAGGCATACCTATAGAGAGTTGTTGTTGTTGCAAATAATGCCTAGAAGACTATTTCCCCAACTTTCTCCAAATATTCCTTCCTTGCAGATGATGCAGGTTCCAGAATCCATGTGCCAGAACAGGTAGATATGGCAGCTCAAGTGGCCTCTGGAATGGCTTACCTGGAATCCCAAAATTACATCCACAGAGATTTGGCAGCAAGGAATGTCCTGGTTGGTGAGCACAATGTTTACAAAGTGGCAGATTTTGGACTTGCACGGGTTTTTAAGGTAGCCTACAATAATATAATTTTTAAACCGATGTCTCAGATATTTGGATATTTTAGCATAATAATAATAATAATAATAATAATAATAATAATAATAATAATAAAAAAAAAAAATTGGAAGGGACCTTGGAGGTCATCTAGTCCAACCCCCTGCTCAGGCTCAAAAACTGATATATAATATAAATATTATATATATAAAGAGCCATGGTGGCCCAGTGGTTAGAATGCTGTATTGCGGGCTAATTCTGCCGACTGCCACCAGTTTGATCCTGACCAACTCAAACTTGACTCAGCCTATCATCCTTCTGAGGTCAGTAAAATGAGGACCCAGATTGTTGGGGGCAAAATGCTGACTCTGTAAACCACTCGGAGAGGGCTGTAAAGCACTATGAAGTGGTATATAAGTCTAAGTGCTATTGCTATAATTTAAGAAATCATGTCCTAGATCAGTGCTTCTTAAACCTTTGGCTCTCCAGACCCTTCCCACTTCTAAAAATTACAAAGGATGCCGAAGTAGCTTTCCTTTTATGGGTTATATTTATATTTTTTATATTTATGGTAATATTTATCAACAGTCACCATATTAAAAATTAAAATTGATCCATTTATAGAATCATGTAAAAATTACAACATTAAACCCATTAGATGTTAACATAAGTATTTTTTTTCCTGAAAAAAAAATATTTTTAAGAAAGAAAAAAAAGTTAAGAAAGAAAAAATAATAATAACAAGAAGAGTGACTTTGTTTTAATTTTTAGCAAATATCTTCAATATCTGGCAAATAAATTTGATTTCAAGGACACACGAGAGTGTCTTAGAGAAATCTCTCCCCCCCCCCATTGTCCTCAGATATACTTTACGAAACACCGTGCTAAATGATACAACATCTACAAGTGTGGAATTGCTCTACAAAGAGGCAGCATCTATATAGGGTATCTAATTTTGGGGACAAAGAACAATAATAATTGTAGCAGAGTTTCCAGCATAAGAATCAGCTGCTTGGCTGTAGCTAGAGACAAAGGCTATGTTTGGAAGTCACAGAGAGACACAATTCTAATTTACCATGAAATGTGATGTTTTACCTTGCTCAGTTTCTCTGAGCTGGATTTTCCTGGCAGCAGCAGTGGCTAAACAAAAACCCCTACTGTGATTTGTTTAGCGTGCACTTTTAGAACACTGACTGCTCATTCCTTGATCTGCTGCACCTCCTGCCGATGTGCTGACTTATGAAAGGGCAAGAGGTTGTGAGTTGATTTCCGCAGATTGGTTTTTTGCTTCAGGCTCGTTGGGATTAGGCGCTGTCTGGAACCAGCAAATCAAGACAATATACTACAGAAAATTTGTAGGTGGATTACTGTAGGTTCAAGTGGCAGCAGCATTGGCAGCATTTGTTATATGTTCTGAGTGAGACCTTTCAGGGACAAAGAAGTAGATATTCAGGCAAAATAATGTTTAAGTTTGTGCTGGCTGCCTTAGACCCCTTAAGATGGTATCGCTTTCTCCCCTATTTATCTTTTTTTGGCCTTGTTTTGATTATGAAGAATGAGTAACTTAACAGTAGCATAAATTAAGACTGAATTTCTCTGTATTTTACATTTGGAAGAGCTGGTTCCAATTATGCTTACTCTAATGGGGGAAAAAATCAGAGTTTTGATCATGGCAAACAAATCTTGGAAGGAGTTATACACACACACACATATATATATGTGCTTATATATATACATATGTGAGTATGTATGCATATGTGTGTGTATGTGTATATATATATGTATACACACACATACATACAGTACATATACATACACATACACATACATACATATACATACATACACATACATATACATACACACACACACGCATACATACACACATACACAGTTTACACAGTTTAGAAACTGCCCGTCTCATTCACAGAGCATTTTTGAATTTGTGATTCTGTTTTGGAAAAGTGATTCAGCTTGGTCTTCTAAATTGATTCATTTTTAAATGAAATGATCCAATGCATTATCAATTGGATGGATTCATACTGATTCAGATAAAAGTATGTTTGCTACTTTTTTGAATTAAAATTTTAACCATCAGATTGATATGGTGATTTCATTATAATATTTGATTCAGAGGAAAGATTCTATCAAACTGCTTTCATGTTAACATTTTAGGTTAAATATTTGCAATGCACTTCTTTCTGTGAATTGTTTATCTACCCTAGAGAGCAGAGAAACCAAAACAGGGGCAACCAGTTTGCTTTAACATGATGTACAGATGCAGTCATAAATTTTAAAAGGTGCACTGAAGTAATACAGAGATCTTCATGGTGATCTGTATCACCTGATAAGAAAAAAACCCAATATAGAATATTACATTTCGGAAACTCAGAACAATATGCATCTGAGAAAGGGAGCAGGCTGATCTAAAAATAAAAAAATCCCAAAGGTGCTTTTTCAAGAGCTTTGAAGATGTTTTACTTCTCATCCAAGAAGCTTTTTCAGCTCTGACTGGATGGTGGGGAATGGAAGGATTTATATTCCTTGCAGACAGCTGGTCATTTGCATTTTTAGAGAGTCATTGAGGCCACTTGGAGATTTATCTGTGTCCTCAAGGTCACCTGAGTGGTGCAAATGGATGTGGAACCTTCTTGGAACTGCTGAAAGGACTGTGTTATAGACTGGAGATAGATGATATCATATCCCTTCCCCTCTGTTGAGAGAGGGCTGTTCAAGGAATATAAATCCTTCCATTCCCCACCATCTAGTCAGAGCTGAAGAAGATAAGAAGTGAAATGTCTTCAAAGAAAAACAAGGAAGTCCAGTTGCCTCTTGAAAAAGCACCTTTGGGACAACCATGGATGACTTGGATGACTGAGAATCTCCATAGAGACTCAGAAAAAAATCTAATATATAAGTAAATAATGCTCCATTTACTCTTCAGAGTCTGTCAGCTCACTTCACCTAAATTAATTGGTGCCACTTTGAACAAATATATTAATTTGCACTTCTTGAGTCTGCTTTTTAAATCCTGGAACTGTTTAAGTGATGATCAAAGTCAGTGTTTTGTTGGTGCTTGTAATTAATCACAGAACAAAGGTTCTGAATGCTTTAGTTCTTGCTGTCACCTTGTCTTCTTGCTAAAGGCTTCACATGAGTCCTGTGCCCTGCTGCCAATAGGTAGCTTGCACCGCTGTCACTGATAGATTCAGGACTCACAGTAGTAAGCCCCAATTAATCATGGCCAAACTGATGTTGCATGGATGCTTGACAAAACAAGGGCTAGGAATTAAGGAACAAAAGTTCTACCTGGCTGGTTCAGGTTCTTAGGGAACATCTTGAAACTTCATTAATTTCAGCTAACAATCAACGAGCCATTTCAGTGTAATGATTATTAGGATTTTCTAAATGTTAGCAAATGAAAAAAAAAGGTTTTAAATTAATATGAACGTCACAATAGCGGAAATGTATAGATCTGGACATTTATCACATGGTTTCTTGTTTGCTGAAAATAGGTAGAAAATGAAAATGTCTATGAAGCCAAACATGAAACAAAGCTCCCAGTGAAATGGACGGCTCCTGAAGCAATTCGCTCGAATAGGTTTAGCATTAAATCCGATGTCTGGTCTTTTGGAATACTCATTTTTGAAATAATCACTTATGGAAAAATGCCCTATGCAGGTGAGTGCTTTGTTTGAAAAAAATCATGCTTTCGACTTTTTTTTTTTTTTAGAGACCTCCTCACTTTTCTTCAGTTGATGGGAAAGGCTAATAAAACTTTACAATTTTCTCTATGTAAGAGAAACTCTTGGATAATCTATGTAGCAACTGCACCACCACTAATCTCAAACAATTAAAATCCTGCTAGGTTTATTTTTACATCTATTTACCTGATACCTCTTCCTATAATAATAGTTGTATTGGTTTGTCAAAATATAAAATAAAAAGAGAAATTTAAAAAAGTAATAGAAAACTAGAAAAAAGGGGGAGGGAAAAGAAAAAAAGATAGTGTAGAGAGGGAAGAGAAAAGGAAAAGGCACCAATGTCCGACTCTTTTTAGCACAGTAGAAGATAACATTACAATCATATCTTTTTGCTTTTACACGACAATATGTACAAACCATTCCTATAACAATAAACCTATCTAATTAACTAAAGCAAAATCAAGATTTCATTTTTTTTCTTTTTCATTGCAAGCACAAAATCTGGAAGCAAGTTCAAAATAGAAGCAAGATGAAATATATTCTCTTCTTTGGATAAAAGAATCAGTTTGACCATCTCTGTTTCTCATTGCCCACGGCTTCTTCCAAAATTTCTAAGCAGCTTACATCAATAAAATAAAAAAACCATAGACCTGTAAACAAGTTGTTCAGCTAAATTAACTTATTATTACCCAAAACTGCTGCTATCATTTAGATGACATCTTCTGCCAAATTTTCTGAGAAAAATCACATTTTATACCTTTCCTGAAAGATAAAGAAATAAGAGTCTGACCTCAAATATGAGGTATCAGCTATTAAAGAGCAGGGGGCTTGAACTGAGAAGGCTAGTCTTCCTGCTCCCCTTGACAAGCGAAACAAGAGAGATGCATGGATGTGCTCTAAGCCAGCATATTTGGGTAAATTTTACTGGAGCATGTGGACCAGCACTTGGCACCTAGAATTGGGCCTGGAAACCTATGGGGACCAATGTAGCTTCTACAATTTAGATATCACTCTGCTATATCAGCTTTCATTTGTCAGCAAATTAGCACCTGCCTTCTGGACCAGTTTGTCAAATTCTATGTAGAAAGAAAGGAAAGAGACAACAGAAGAACAACAGATATTTCAGGAAGGTATCTTAACACTAGCCTGGGGCAAATGAAGACTCTCGGAAAACTAGTCATTCCCCAGCCTCAGTTATAATGAGGTAACTGGAGTAGAGTTTCTTTGAAGCTCCCCCCCTCCCAAGATCTTTTGCAATCTGGACTAAATTGTCTTTTCTGAGATTCAGCCTCCACTGCATAAAGAATTCTTACTGCAGTCAGCATATACAATAAGAAAGTTCCATCCCCCCCCCAGTTCCTTGTTCAGTAATCCTAAAAGAAAAGCTTCAGTTTTCAATATTATGTTCATTTTAAGAATCTGCTGCCTTGTGACATGGATCTGGCCCCAATATTTCTTTGCTTTATCACAAGTCTACCAAAGATGCTAAAAAGCACTTTCTTTAGAAATGCATTTCCAACATACATGTCAATGACTTTATACATCTTTGAGAATTTATCAGGTGTTAGTTATCAATGATAAAGTCATTTTCATCTTAACTTGGAGTTCATTTCTTGGTCTGATTTATATCTTGGAGCTGACTCATGCATGTCTGCTGGCATCAGTTACAGAATTACAGAATCAGGAGGGGTCCTGTTATAGATCATCCATAACAATCAATGTTGTTTCTGTCCCATGCCCAGGCAAAACTTCACTAGCCTTATTGCTATTGTGTAAGCTCAAAAGTTGACTTAAACATAACAATGCCACTCCTTGTTTCACACAGTGTGACTCCAATCATCAGTTGTAGCATTTCTTCTACAAGGAACAGCCTTTGATTGACACCTGGGGAGAGCAGCTCAAGAGCAATCCTGCAAATGCCTATGTTGCCTCTGAATTCCAAAAATTATCTATGCACCCAACAAAACTGCTGACCAAATTGCTGGAAATTCCCCAAATCCCTGCTGAACACAATAGGATCCATAAGATGTCTAGGAGATACCATCTAAATAGGTCCACTGAGTTGAACCAGGTGTTTCAGGATACCTATGTTCTCATATGAGATCTGATATATTTTATACTTACTTAACTTTACTGAGGTTGTTAACCAGCACAAGTTATATTTTATACTTTTAAAAGGACCCTGTAGCTATATAAGCAAACACATTTTCCCCTTTGTTATTGTTCAGTCAACCCACAACCTGAAAAGATTGGTATTCCTGGTCTTCCCTTATGTCTTCTGCTACGGTGGCTAATAATTCTAAGCCACAGTATTAATTATTGTTTGTGGATTAAGCCAGAATGCCCTGGTTCATATGTAATTCTAAGTCCCAGTGGCTATATTCATACATTGCAAGAACCATAAGCATCTGCAGGGGAGGGGGAGAAGGAGCTCAAGAGAAAAAAAAATGATATTGCAGTATGAATCCCCTAGCTTATGTACTTGTGTTTGATCCCAGAATGGAAATGTGAATGACTAGAGGTTACATTGTGACATGCAATGCACATTTTTTTGCAATTGTTTTATGAGAGATGCTTATTGTATCAAGTGCCCCCACTCCACCCCAAGTGAAAGGAAAACATTAGTTGTCATGCTCTGTCTGAGTCCAGACAATATTTGTTTAACTTAAGCAATGCCGGTTCTACCATTAGGCAAACTGATCACTTCAGGAACTTGTGGATAATTTTCTTGGCATCCTTACAATAAACAGGGAGAGATTTCTGTCATTTCAGCAAAGACAGCCATGTTTCTTGAGTCAGTTACATGATCCTGTTGGGAAGCCCAAAACTCTCAGTGTGAGCTTTTCCACATTTTTGCCAAACTAAAAATTAAATTTAAATGGGTAGAATTATTTCTTGTACTAAAGATACTAATTTGCAGAGATGCTAGAAAGCATGAAGTCTTGTGCAAAAGAATGTATCCTTGAGACTGCATCCTCCTTCCATTTTATTTCAAGTTAGCATGTTTATCATGTATCGTTGCTAATCTTTTAAAACTATATCATAGGTCTGATGGGTTTTCAAGTGCTCCAGAAACTGGATCAAGGGTACAGAATACCTCAACCAGCTAATTGTCCTCTAGAGTTGTACAACATTATGCTACAGTGTTGGAACGTCGAACCCAATGAACGACCAACCTTTGAAACCTTGCACTGGAGATTAGAAGATTATTATGACATGGATTCCACATCTTATGCAGATGCAAATACTTTTATAGATTGAATGAATACATATTGCTACTGCTCAAGAACAACTTTCCTTTAGGAATTTTTAAAAATCATTTCAAGTCAAAGTTGTAGAATGAAGATAAATTTATCTGTGTACATGTGTGTGTGTGTGTGTGTACATATACATATATGCACACACATACAAATACACACCCATACACATAGGTGCATACTCTCTGCACTGGGACTAGAAGAAAGAAAACCTTTTTTGTAAGAATAATGCATTTGTTAGGCTATTACATGCTACATCAAACAAAAGCTGCTATTTTCACCAAAGTAACTGTGAGATCAATCTAACCTCAGAGTAGATAAATGGTGAGCTTAAAATAGTGGCGAATGCCAAGGAATGTGTGTTTATTAAAATCTGTGACATTATGCCACAGTCTTGATGGCAGTCATTTGTACTGTCAGATTAAGAATACTGAAACAGGCAGGATCTTTTTCTCTCTCTCTGCTGTACAATGAAGTTATTCTTCTATTTATTATTTAAACAAAAGATAGTAAAGAACACAAATCATAAACAGCCGCCACACAAGAGGCGTTGTAACACTAGTTTTAATACTTCAGAATGATTATGCATTATTCTCCAGATTCCACAAGTAATCTGTTAAATCACATTGATTTGTTTTTATGAAAGTATGTGATTGTGCTTATGGATAATCTATCCATAAAAATGCTTTGTCTCCTTTTCTATACATATTTCTATACATATTTCCCTTTTCTATACATATACTGCAGCTACAATTCTGGCCATCCTGAATTAGAGGTTGGGATTGCACCCATGCAATGGATATGTATTTACTTTAGGGAAAAAAAGAGAGTTTACCTGGGGAAACACAATCTGCACAGATAATGGGCTTCTTTTGCAGTCAAGTGATGCGCTTCAGTTCATAAATATAGTCTTTGTAATTTTATAACAATCAAATAGTACACAACTGTATATGCATTAGAGTGCCAGCCTCTACTTCTTTTAACAGGCTCTCAATAAGGATCAGCTGCCTCCAAGCAGTGATTTCAAATAATTCTGTCAACCAATTTTCTGATATAGATGGATTTCTGTTTTTATTTGTCTGATCATGGACCACAATGCTGATTGTATTGGGGCCACTCATCCTTTTTATGAAATGCCTGCTTGAGGTACTTAGATTGTACTTCTAGGAATGTAAAAAAAATCTAAATGTAAAACATTGGCATGTTAAATAAAACTCCAGATAGAAGTACTATTTGTTAGACATCTAGCTTATTTTTTTTCATTGTGCATTCTTTTAGTTTGTCTTATTGAGAACCATGCTGCCAGTTATTTTTGGCAAATCATTTTCTATAAATGGCAAATCCATGAAAGTCTACTTTTTGACACTAAAAAAAGAAAGTATATTCTACTTTCTTGAGATTGTGTATAACTTCTACAGGTATTATCAGAGATCAGACTTGCGTGTTGGAAGCATCACCCTTTGATATGGTAATAAAAATCACTTGCAGTAAAAATAAAATATAGATTGAAATCTTCCTCTCACATTAGCTACATTTATCTTTTATAATAATAACTTTATACTAAACAATTCTTTTATGATGAACAAATCTCTTCTAAATGTGACATCATTCAATGAACTTGATTTCTGAAGCCTTGGATGTAAATCTAAGGTTCTACATTTCAATTTTTTACTGGGGTCACTGAAAAAAGAACGCCAGTCAGTTATTTGGAGAGGGACAAGACTACTCAGTACAATGCCAATGCGGAGAAGGTGGCATAACACCAGTAAAGCCATTATCTATGAACAAAAAATGTCACTGGTTTGCTTTGTTTCTTTTCTGCTGTGGTGCTAGGAAAGGTACCACTATCGGCAACTGCATATTCAGTTTTACACCATTCTAAAAAAAAATAAAATTGTCCTCCATTCTCAATATTGTATCAAAGAGATGTATTTAATTGGCAGTGAGAAACTGCTTATAAAAATGTAGCCTTACTCACATAAATTGTTGAATGTACTCGTGCTATATTTTATTTCAGGAATAAACAAAATGCTTTGTTTCTGTCCTTGATGGGCTAGAACATATGTAAATGAAAAGATGTAAGCACCATTAAACAACACAATCATGTAATGGACGGTGAATGAATGATGCAGGAGAGGTAGAGGGATTCTAATAAAATCTAAAAATGAGTCGACAGTTCTAAAAAATGTAACAAAACGAGACTTTTATTATATTTTTCCCATTGGAGAAAAAAGTTTTCCAAATTGTCCTAGAATGAAGCTAAATCTCTAGCATTAAGTAGATTTGAATGGCCAGGCTGTCAACAAAATAGCCTGACTCTTTGACCAGTCTAAGCTATGGTTATTTTAACCTTTGTTGATTGAAAAGCCACAGAGATTTAGTTCATACGACATGCTAAAGCAGGGCTTTTCAACCTTTTCACCCATTGTACCACTTTTAGGATATGGCAATATCTGAATACCACCAGTCGTCTAGCTAGGTGTCAAATACTTGATGAGCCCCCCAAAAAGGAAAAAAGTGATAAAGTACAGGTAGTTCTCAACTTACAACAGTTCGCTTAGTGACTGTTCGAAGTTACAATGGCACTGAAAAAGTGCCCCCCAAGCCACAGCCAAGCAAGACAGCACCCGGCAGTGCTCTTCCTCCTGTCCGAGGTTTTCATTGTTGTGAGCATTTCTGTTGAGGATTGGCAGCAGGGGTGGGGGGTGTTTGGTTTTTATTCCCCCCGTCTGCTGGGTGGTTGCAGCAGGTTTTGGTCACTTCACATGATCCTGGGACACTGTGAGCGTCATAAATATGAATCAGTTGCCAAGCATCTGAATGTAAATCACAAGACCCTGGAGATACTGCAACATTCCAGCTGATCGGTGCTTCTTCTGGGCTCAGCAGAAGCGTCAGAATCAGTGCTGCTTTCCAGCTGATTGGTGCTTCTTCAGGGCTCAGCAGAAGCACCAGGATCAGCACCGAGCTCCAGCTGGAGCCTGGCGCTGATCCTGGCGCTTCCGCTGAGCCCAAACAGCCCTGCAGCTCCAGCCATCTCTCGCTCAGGCTTGTGCGGTGCTGCCACCGGTTCAGCTCATTCCCCTCCCCCACTACCACTTTTCTAGGATGGTCGCTTACCACCTGCCAGGTGCCAATGTACCACAGGTGGTACCCGTACCACTGGTTGAAAAGCCCTGTGCTAAAGCCTAACCAAACGACCCACATTATGATTTAATCCTAATGAGATGTATGAACCCAAATGCTGCAGCTGCTATCCACAAAACCAAAACCTATATGAATCTTAGAAAAAAAAGAAAGAAAAGAAATTATATCATTATGACTGCTGTTAACTGCTGTTGGGAATTTATGCTCCTTCTGAAAAAAATCAAGATAATGGTCCTCCAAATTTTGCTTTTTCTGGATCAGGTGGAATGAAGTCCCATTTGTGTTTTTCATATAGCTAATCCTCTAATGTACTTGGTTCTATTGGCATATTCTTCTTTTTCTAGATGCATGAGAAGAAAGAAGGACTTATAAAAGCAATTCGCTTCATCACGTGCTCAGTTAATGTATATTTCAACCCTACTCCTAGATTGGTTGATAGATTTGATTCCATCAAAAATTCCGCGTTAGTATTTTATACCTGTAATGGCAAATTACGTTTGTCTGATTTATGCAAGAATAGAAAAAGCAATTGAAATACATTGGCTCAGTTTTAATCAAGTTTTGACTTCATTTTATAAAGTTCTTTCATATTCATATTTATAGATCCTATGACTGTCTAGACAAAAGCCTTCTTGCTTTCATGTGTTCAAACTTAGAAGAATGGGCTTGTTTCCATGGAAAGTTTCTTCAAAATTCCTGAGGATTTATTCAGCATAAGTCAAGTGGAGTTGAGTGGCCAATTACTATAAACAAGTAAACAATATGATGCATAAACAGTAGAGGTTTCTGTTGTAACCTTCCATGGTTTTTCTGAAACACATTTTAGCATTAGCACATGAAGGGAAACAGTTATTGCTTACACACATAGAATATAAACTTCAGTCTGATACAGTACCCAGAAACAGGGGCAAGCAATGCAGAATCTTAATTGGCAATAGAACTGGCCAGAGACAACGGAAATGATTTTGATCACAAGTAGAGGACCAATTACAAGTCAAACTACTATAACAAGAAGAAATAAACATGCTGTAGGTTTGTACTGCAGTTCCTAATACCTCTAAAGAAAATTTCTTTGCTATAAAAGCAAAGTCCACAGTCCACAAATAACCCATCCAATATATAATATACTGAATTAAAGAGAAGACTCTAGTATTGATGTATACACCTAATAAATAATGGATAATATCCATTGCAATGATCTATTCTCAAATATCCTATGAAACTCATTCCACAGAATATTTGAGCATGTTTTTTTGTTGCGAATTGTCTCAGGTAGCTAAAGCATACCCAATATTTAAGTTATCCAAAATATTTAAGTTAATCATTCAGCTAGCCTACTAACTTACAATTTCATTAAGAAATAAAGGTGGAGTTAGGTAAGATATAAAAGATCATCATCATCATCATCATCATCAACAACAACAATAATAATAATAAAAATGATGATGATGATGATGATGATGATGATGATGATGATGATGATGATGTCTGGAGTATTAGTGTGGCATGCACCTGCCACACATGCCAGACTTAACTCTTGATAAGGAAAAGTAGTCTGGATAGTGGACTTGCAGTACCTGGAGCCAACAGAATCAAAGAGAAAGAACTGGGGAAAAAAATAACAAAATACGAAGACTTGCAAACAGAAGTAGAACAACTATGGCACAAAAAATGGTGCCAATAGTGATAGGCACTTTGAGTTCAATCTCAAAACAACTTGAGCACCACTTGAACACCATTGTCATTGACAAAAATCACCGTCAATTGCAAAAGGCAGCTTTATTCAGAACAGCTCATATCCTGCAACAATATGTTCATCGCATCAAACAACAATACCTGCCTATCCCAGGTCCTTGGGAAGGATATGACAGGTGAATAAAAATGCCACATTCAGTCTAAACATTTGGCTGACAATGCAACCAACCATAATCAAATTAAACTTGTATGCTCCCCAACTCTCAACAGCTTCTTTTCCGCCTCAGTCCAGCAATGCACACATTTGTGTATTTGCTCTTTTGTTTTGTCCACAATGCTTCTAACACTAATGTTAGTGGACTTGTAAAGATATTGTGGGAGGATTACAGGAGACCCCCAAGATATCAGTTCAATTTGTAGAACAATTTAAAGCGTGCACAAGGCCACTCTCCTGTTATAACTTTTCAAGATGCCATCTCTGACAGCCTGTCAGCATTTCTTCAGCTGATGGAGACGTAGTGAAAAGGCTGGAACACTTTCTTACAGGGGCATTTCAGATTTAAATCATCACTTCTCTTTTAAGGATAGAGATAGGTTTTCTTAGCTTCCATGAAGGGCACCTTCCAAATGCAGGGGAATTTGTAAGGAACATCCGATCTCTTGCATTAGACATCCAAGGCAAGCTGGTAAATAGCCAAACTAAGGAAAAGACCAATGAAGGAAAAGTCTGACTCCATTTGTGGCAACAGTTTTAAAAAAGGGAATGATGTATCCATGAGCTTTATGAGTGTTTCCCATAAATTGATGAAAACAATAATCAAAGAAAAAAATATAGCAGTTCAGGTCTTGTTAAAGGAAAATCTGTATGGAGTTTGCAAAGACAAATCCTGCCTTATTAACCATTGTTGAGGATATCTGCAGGAGTATGAATGGAGATGTGCATGTGACATTCTGCACTTGGAATTTTCAAAAAGCCTTTGGCAAAATCCCTCATTAAAAGCTCTTGAGTAAATGCAAATGGTCATGGAACAAGACGACCTGCTCTTTACTAATGGGTTCAAAAACATAAAACTAAAACTGGGACTGGAGAAATAAAAAGATAGAGTCCTTCAAGGTTGCTTTTTAAGTTATTAAAATTGATATTGTTTTTTAAGCAATAAGCTGGTAGAGAGTAGGAAACCATTCTCAAACTATTGAAAAGTTTGAGAAGGATCCTTTGGTTAATGGCTAATCAAACAGCAAACATTTCAATTTGAGAAATTCTAATGGTGTGGCTAGCTGGGGAATTTTGGGAGTTGAAGTCCACACATCTTAAAGTTGCCAAGGTTGGGGAAAAACTGCTCTAAACTGATGCACATTAGAGCAACACCTCTTCCCCAGCCTGCCATTTCACATACAAGCTGAAATATAATAATTTTTTCACCCCAAATGTTTGGCATACTGTTGGAAACAAATGAAATGTTTCTATGTTGAAGGATGAATTTATGGCAGGTGGAAAGAATGGTATTAGATTAGTCCATCTGAGCAAGTGGTCATCTTCCAAGTCAGGGGTCTTCAAACTTGGCCCCTTTATGACTCATGGAATTCAACTCCCAGAATTCCTCAGCCAACGTGCCTGGCTGAGGAATTCTGGGAGTTGAAGCCCATGAGTCATAAAAGGGCCGAGTTTGAAGATCCCTGTTCCAAGTGGTTTTGCAACTGAGCAACTGGTTGATTGAGATTGGGTTCATTGCTTGGTTAGATTTATTCTTTTTCTTGAAGAGTTCAAATCTTACCTGGGCAGCCATCTTTATTCTATCTCTCCAATAGCAACTTTGTTGGACTGAGAGAGAGGGAAAAAATATTTTTTCTAGACGTTGAAGTCATGTAAATTTGGAGCCGTGTCTGGTTGTGTTTTATGTTTTAGGGAGTGTGGTTTGTCTAGACACATAGGCTTTTCTTTTTATTGGTTTTTTTAATGTATTTTTTTTTTAATGTAAGCCACTTAGATTTCTTCTCAAGCTGGACAGGCTCTGAATCTCATAAATAAAATAAAAATAAAGTAAAATACCAAATGACATTGATTTTGTTTTTCCATTAAAAGAAAGTACCTTTAATAGATTCAATGTTAAAATATAAAGTGTCACTCCAAAACCTAATAATATGAACAATTGATTCAGAAAGAAGA